TATATATATATATATATATATATATATATATATATAAACATTTTATTGGCAAATATAAATTTATCGTACCTTTCGTACCGCCAGAAATATGAACCTGATCGCATTAAAATTTGAAAATATAATAAATTTTTGTATAGAAGTAGTTTATATATTTTAGAATTGAAGAGAAGAGAAAAATCTATAAGATTTGTCTGAAATTATTTTATAATATATTTTGTTATACACATATATAAATTTATTCATACAAATTTTATTTTTATTTTAAATTTTAAATCGTTATTTTAAAAGTAATATTTTTAAATAAAAAATTACATCACCATTTATTTTATCAATCATGAGACATATATATTTTTTAACACGTTTTAACTCAAAATTATCCGGAAAAAAATGTTGTTTCTTATAATTTTATAGTTTTTTTTTTAAAACATATTTTTATGTTCGCTATTTTTTAATACTTACATATATAATCCATTTATTTTTTCACGTATAATGCATGGTATGCTCACGTACAAATAACCAAACGTAAATAATTAATTAACAATATAAATTTATATAGACCGATAAATTAATTAATAATTTAGACAAATAAGAAATTCGAACAATAGAATTCGAGAAAATTCCGATTCGATTGAAAACACGAGAAGAGATAAGTTTATTCGTCTAATTTGTTACACGAAAATAATTGAAAAATGCAAGGATAGACATAATTAATAATGGCCTAAAAGAACACGAGATAGTACAGAGTGGGAAAGATACATATACCTTATTATGTGTAATAACTTACAATGTACTTAACGTTTCATGTGTCAAATGAGTATCCTTTATTTTGTGATCCTAGTCACCTATAACACGTTGACACCTTAAATTAAATAAACGAGAAAAAAAGTTGTACAATTTAGAATAATATCGACAGAAACGGGGTTTGCCAATGTGTTGAACAATATTTTCGCTGGCCTCGGTTAGAAAGCGTTTACTAAATAGCCTACCGTTTCGCTGTGCATATCCTAATCTAAAATAGTGCATAAAGATTAATGAGAATAGTTTTTAACGAAAAGTAATGGAAAACGAGTAAAAGTATGAAGCTCTCGTATCGTGAAAGCACATTAAATGGTAACGCTAATGCGATAATGCGAAGTAATAACGATAAAACAGTGTGAATGAGCGCCCATTACGGTGAACAATCCATACACGTGCATATGCACACAAGAGTTTCGAAGAAAAATAAAAAAAGAAAAAAAAAGAGAGAGAGAGAGAGAGAGAAGTAATGATTATCGATCGAGACGTGTATGTATGCGTGTGTATGCGTGTGTATACGATATCTGTATGCACGTGTATGTGTATATGTACACGTACACGGTTATACGTATGTACGTACGCATATACGTGTACACGTGCATGTGACGACGAGTATAAAAAAGTATGCGGGGAAGGAATAAACACATAACATTTTACGTGCGTGCGTATGTGTGTATTGTAAAGCGGCGCGCCTTGGTAATTAACGAAAAGAAAGAAAAGAAAAGAAAAGAAAAGAAAAGAAAAAAAAATTATAGAGACGAAGAATACGGCGACGTATTTACGTATATAAGAATTAATTGACTCTAACAATTTTGTTTTACATTGTCCCAATTAATAAACAGAATGTGCATGTGCCTGTGTCCTTTGCTTCTATATGATGCCCTTTCGAAATTTTTTAACGCTTATCCACCAACACACACACACACCTTGTAGTGAAATTACCGCTTTGCATTTTGCTCTGGCTGCGATCCGACGATCATTGTTCAAAAAAAACTTCTATCTCTTTTTTTTTTTTTTTCGTCCTTCTTTTTTCTTTTTGGGGGTTTTTCCACCTTTTTTTTTTTTTTTGTAAGTTTTTTTTTTTTTTCGTCCTTCTTTTTTCTTTTTGGGGGTTTTTCCACCTTTTTTTTTTTTTTTGTAAGTTTTTTTTTTTTTTCGTCCTTCTTTTTTCTTTTTGGGGGTTTTTCCACCTTTTTTTTTTTTTTTGTAAGTTTTTTTTTTTTTTCGTCCTTCTTTTTTCTTTTTGGGGGTTTTTCCACCTTTTTTTTTTTTTTTGTAAGTTTTTTTTTTTTTTCGTCCTTCTTTTTTCTTTTTGGGGGTTTTTCCACCTTTTTTTTTTTTTTTGTAAGTTTTTTTTTTTTTTCGTCCTTCTTTTTTCTTTTTGGGGGTTTTTCCACCTTTTTTTTTTTTTTTGTAAGTTTTTTTTTTTTTTCGTCCTTCTTTTTTCTTTTTGGGGGTTTTTCCACCTTTTTTTTTTTTTTTGTAAGTTTTTTTTTTTTTTCGTCCTTCTTTTTTCTTTTTGGGGGTTTTTCCACCTTTTTTTTTTTTTTTGTAAGTTTTTTTTTTTTTTCGTCCTTCTTTTTTCTTTTTGGGGGTTTTTCCACCTTTTTTTTTTTTTTTTTTTTTTTTTTTTTTTTAATATTATATTATAAGATCATGATCATGAAAGAGAGAGAGAGAAAGAGAGAGAGAAATTAACACGTGTTAATTTGCTGCGACCACCACGGTAACGTAAAATTGTTGGATCGTTATGCCATCTCGTAAATAGATTATTATTGCGAAGGTGTTTTCTTTTTTTTTTTTTTTCAGTCATAATTCAAGCGTACCAATGTGAAATCCGCTGTTTTTTTTTTAGTTTTCTATTTTTTCTCGAATTCGATTGAGCTCCTTCTTCATCTTTTCCTTTGCCTAACACGCCCATTTCTTGTACCTTTGCCTGGCTCTAGGAAAAGATTAATATTTTATCTGTCGTTAAATATCAGACATAAGACTCTGTACGATAAATGATATTTAATTAATTCATTTTATATTTACATTTACAATATCATAATATGTTGTATATACATTAATTGTATATTAATTTTATTTTATTTCATATCAAAGAGATTATTTTATTTTTGAGAAAATCAATTAACATTACATTTAATAACATTTTTTATTGAAATAGAATCAGAAATAAATAATATGTAAGACAATTATTTTCTTTCGATATATTATCATACAATACTATTAGTTAATAATTTGTCACAAAGTCAATTTATCGTCATTCGTTAAGTTTTTTTATTAAATTTTTGTTCAACCACTATAAATTGATAAGAATACTTAATTTTATTCTTAAAAATGCACAAATATATTATATTGCACAAACAAATTTATTAAGATAAAATTAAAACGTTTCTGAAGAGCTTGGCAAGGTACAATATTGCTGTGAATGAAGGGCGTCAAAGGGCGTCGTCTTAATAAAAATATCTTGATAATAAATTACATTTGAATCGGCATATTCGATATCGATTATCAGGTGACTTCAATGAATCTGACAAGGTTTCCTCTGCCTTTCAGGGGCCACCAGGATTAGACGGCATGAAGGTGAGCAATCCTCGGGGAGACCCGTTTAACCATACATTATATTTATGATTTTTGGATCCTCGATTACTACGCTCACACTACGATTTCATCACATTCAGGCATATATTAAGTCCTGGTTGAAAACATAACGGGTATTGTTCGAGCGTGTACGCGCAGATCACATTATTCGTTATATTTATTCATACTTGCAGGGTGCACAAGGAGAACCAGGGACAAAGGGAGAAAGAGGGGATCCTGGCCTACCTGTAAGTATCCTCTTCTCAATAAATTGAAAAATTATCCTAGAATTTTAT